AACATAGCGTCAAGAGTGAATCCCACATAGTCACGGTAGGTATTTCTTCATGCGATTTACATATATTCTAAAACACACACTTCGTATAGGTATAAAATCTATGCTTTAACCATGAATAAAGGTTAAAACATGACAATCGCGGGTCCAGTGCAATGGCTCAATTGCTTAATCCTTGCCCTGCACGCACTAGGATCTCATATGGGAACCAGTTCCTCCGGCTGTCCCACTTCCCACCCAGCTCCCTGCTTGTGGCATGGGAAAGCAGTAGAAGATGGCCCATAGCCTTGGGACCCTGCACCTGTGTGGGAGAGCCTGAAGAAGTTCCTGGCTCCTGGCTTCGGATCGACTTGGCTCCAGCCGTTGTGCTCACTTGGGGAGTCAATCAATGGATGTAAGATCTTCCCTCTGTCTCTCCTCCTCTCTGTATATCTGACTGTCCAATAAAAATCAATACACCTGTAAAAAAAAAAATCGGTTCTAAAACATGAAAATCACTGCAACAGATGATGAAATCCTTGATGCTTGTCTCTCTGCTCAAAGCACTGAAGCAGAACTCTGGGTAGCCGTCTGAGGGTATGTCCTCAGATCAACAGAGGAAGAGATTCTGGGCCTTGCCAGAAGTGTGAACTGCGAGGATTCCCGATCTTCAGTGCTCAGAAATGTCCAGGAATTGCATGGCGGCTGCTAGTTTCGCCAGACTGAGAAGGCCAGTGGAACAAGTTTCTTACGAATACTCTAACCCAGAGATTAAAGCTAGGGTCCCCAGGGAGACTGGAGAAGACCTTCAATTCCAAAACCGCTGTAGAACAGAAAGTGCCCCTGCTGTCAACCTTGAGAGACCCCGGGGCATCTAACCGGACGTGGGTATTCCCTGACTGCCATTTTGGAAACAGGAGGAAGCAGAAGGTCTTTCTTTCTTACGTGCTGGATATCAACTCATCAGAGGGAAAAGAATGAAGGTAGGGTTCTCCTGTCCCACCCCTGCTGTCTGCTGTGCAAAGTTTTGAAATACCTTTCAGACTCAGTACTTCCTCAACTTGTCTTCTGGAATTTGAGGAAGATTTTTGCTGCAGTCTAAAAAGTGCCGCGTCACATTAGCTAACAGAGGTGCAGGTCCGGCCAGGACTAGTCAGGGTGTGGCGTCAGAGGGAGGGGCCCCATACAGGCATGCTCTGCACCCACGGTCAGCTAAGAAGGACACCTAGCTAGATATTTTGCCTAAGGATCTCAGAAAGGAGGAATTTGGACTGAGGGGAGTGGTCTCGTTTTAGAAATGAGAGGAATCCCAGGTTCTGCCTGTAATACAAAAATAATTTGATAAAAAGGGATATATTTAAAAGATATGTTTTTATTATAAAGGCAGATTTCTAGGGAGAAGAAGCTACAGAGAGAAAGACCTTGCATTGGCTGCCTCCCTCCCAAAATGGCCGCAATTGCTGAAGCTGAGCCAATTTGCAGCCAGAAGCCTCTTCCGGGTCTCCCATGCAGGTGCAGGGTCCCAAAGCTTTGAGCCGTCCCCTACTGCTCTCCCAGGCCACAAGCAGGGAGCTGGGTGGGAAGCGGCGCCGCAGGAACTCGGACCTGTAGCCATATGGAATGCTGGTGCTTGCACACGAAGAATTAGTCTGTGGACCCATGGTACCAGCCTCAAATATAGATCTTTTAGATGCAAGTTGTACTCCTACCCAGAAAGAAAAAATCCCACATAATGTTAAGGTTGTTGATTGCAAGTCCCAGAGGGCCCTGATAAGGATGTGTGTACTTTTGCCTCAGTTGGGAATAGGAGAAGGTTGTTGGGAAAGCAGGCATTGCTCTGAGGGAGTAATACCAAGTTGATGCAGCAGAAGGATTTACTTCCTTTCAAGAATAAATACGAATATTCTGAGGGATACTGCTGAAAGTCCTCTGTCCATTGCTGAGATGCCCCAGGCAGAAATTTTAGCTTGAGACACTATCTTGCTTCAGCCTGGTGGTGGCAAGGAGATGAGCTCCTTTATCTGATTGGGCTGACTGCGTCATCACAGGGAAAGCTCTGCACCTAACCAGAAGTCAGCAGAGGCAACAGTCTCAGGTTATGTCACTTCATTGCTTAATAGTTGCTTTTTCCCCCCACAATACAGATTTATGACCATAGGAGTTCGTCTCTCTCCTTCCCTCTCTCTCTCCCTGTAATCTCCTCCTATTATTTGTTCTCAAATTATTATAATAGTGTACTCAAGCTTAAATTTCTGAAATAAGTATATTGTGACATGGTAAGTATAGTCAGTGTTAAAAATATAGTAACAATTTAAAAGTTTAATCATTTCTATCAATGGGAATAGAACTGATGATCAGGAGTAGATATGTACACATTGCTTACAATTTCACTAATCTAACTCCTTGTAGAATTGAAATGTGTGTGTGCATGTTCACATTGTGCTTTGTGCATTATTCATCACAGATCAGAGAAGACAAATGATATTTGTCTTTTGGGGACTGCCTTATTTCACAAGGCATAATGGTTTCCAGCTGGGACCACGTCTTAGGCTGAGGACTCAGGGAATATTCCTCTACGTGCTGGAGGGGGAATCTCTGCCCCACCCTACCTTTCTGGAAGCTGTGAGAAGATATGAAACATGTTGGCCGACTCAACTCTTCATTTAGCATCTCATGAAAATATGCTTAAATTAATTATCTTAGATCACAGAGGGAGTTACTTCAGCCCAACTAATATAGAAGTTATGATTGTGGGACCCAAATCTCAATATAGCTGGACTGCATACAGTAAGTCCTCGTTGTTGATGTTTTAATTTTGAAGTCTATTTATTTATTTGAAAGAGTTATAGAGAAACACACATAGAGACAGTTTGCTCTTCTTTTTAAATTGTTTTGAACTTTTGTTAAGAAAATGTATTTATTTATTTATTTGAAAATTACAGAGAGAGAAAATAGAATCTTCCAACCTCTGATTAATTCCCCAAGTGGACACAAAAACCTGACACTGGGCCAGACTGAAGCCAAGAGCCAGGAGTTTCATGTGGGTTTTAAGAGTGGCAGAGTTCCCAGATACTTCAGCTGCCTTCCGCTGCCTTACCCAGGCCAATAGCAGGGAAGTGGATAGGGAACAGAACAGCTGGACCCAGACCTCTGCGTATTTGTGATGCTGATGTTGCAGGTAACAACTTTACCCTCAATGCCACACACTGCTCTCTCCCCCACATCCCTTTAAAAAATATTTATCTCAAGATTATACTCTTGGGGAACTGTGGTCTTTACATTTTTTTTACTTTTAGAGATTATGGTTAGTGGTGCGCTCAGACTGTGATTATAGCATTGGCTGAAATTATGTATTTGTGAAAAGGAAAGAAAAAAAATAGGAAGACGGGAGATTGAGGGAGAGAGAAGAAGGAGGACCTGTGCCTTAGAACCTGTACCTGTGAAATACATGAAAACTGTTCTTTTTACATTATTTTTAAAGGTTTATTTGAAAGAGTTAGAGAATACATAGAAAGATACAGGTGTAGATTTCATCTGCTGGCTCATTCTTGAGATGGCCATAATCATAGGGCTGGGCCAGGCTACAGCCAGGGGCTCGGAGCTTCATCTGGGTTTGCCAGATAGACGCAGGAACCCAGACAATAGGGCCTTCTTCAACTTCTTTCCTAGGCTGATAGCAAGGAGCTGGCTCAGCTACCGAGCAGCTGGGGTGCAAATTGCTGTCCTTAAGGTCTGCAGGTGTCACAGGCATTGGCTTTTCTTGTTCACTACATGCTGGTTCCTGCTGTTGTCTTCTTGCTATCTTCCTGGTAAGGCTTTGCCAAATCTGGCCAGATGTGCTACTCTTCACTGCTTTTGCTTGCCTCTCAGGGAGCTGAACTCCTGCTGTTGGAGATTTTCCATTAGGTTTGTAGAGGGATAGAGTCCAGGTCTTAGGCAGTGGAAATCGAGAACCTTAATGAGTGAAATATGGAACTTCCACTATGTGTCAGATCCTTCCACACTCTCTTAACTTGTCGACCCAGCACCATGTTTGCAATCTAAACTCTAGGATCTCCTGAATTCTTACAGGAGCTCCAGGAACCTGCTGGTGAAAGACTTGTCTGAGACAGTGTTTGCAGAACACAGAGAAGACAAGGCCAAGGCAACTTCAAGGCTTCAAGGTAAGGTGCATCCCCTGAATGAGGACCTAGGCCTACCACCAGAATAGAGGGGACCCTGTAGTGCCTGACTCCTCCCACCCACCTTCACCGTCATCCCTGCAGTCTCCCTCTCTGCTGACCCACCTCTTTCCATTTTTCATACGCATGTTTCTTTTTTTTCATTTTTTATTGTTATCATTTCCCATGATACAGTTTTGCAGGTGTAGGGAACCTCCCCTTCCCCCCTACCCATTCTCTCCCTGCCACTTTTTGCTCCTTTATTGTTGCAGTGGTATAGTCCTTCAACAGCAGTCACAAATCAAAGATTCTGTAATTTAAGTCTATCGTGACATTTAAGCCATATAAAATGATAAAAAATCTAGTATACCATTGTCAAGGTATATTTAACAGCTTAATTGGGACCCTTCCTTTTATTTAGGGGTAAAGATGCATACTGCAACGTATCTTCACTCTGTGGTATGCTAGTTTTCATTATACAGTTCTTCTATGAGAATTTATGCATATACTAGTTCATGGATATATCTGTTTTATATTTTACATGAATGTTGCGTTATATCAGAGAGAACATGTGGTGTATGTCTTTTTGGATTGGCCTGTTGCACTGAGAACATTGGTCTCTGGTTAAGACCACTTTGTAGCAAATGGTAGAATTTCATTCTTTTTAATGGCTGTGTAGTATTCCATGGAATGAAACTTTCAGAAGCCAAATGAAAGTCCCGTGAAGCCCTAGTGCACCAGCGCTTGGAGAGTGCCGTTCTCCCCTGGAACACTCACATGCTCCCTTTTCTTCCTTAGGTCTGTGGGTTCTGTTCACCCAGCTGCCGCTATTTCCTCTGCCTGTTTCCTTGAACAAGAGTCATCATGCCTCGAGCTCCAAAGCGCCGACGCCGTGTGCTTAAACAAGACCTTCACACCCAGACTGAGGCACAGTGCAAGGATTCTTCTTCATCCTCCACTTGTTCCTCTTCTTTTCCCTGCTCTTCTTCCTCTTCTACCTCCTCCTCTTCGAATCCTCCATTGCCAAGTATTCCAGAGGAAGAATTGGGTGGTGATAGCACACAGAGTATTGCTCTGAGTCCTCAGGAGGCTTGCTCCTCTTCTGCTGTGATGACCTGCACTCCACGGAGCCAATCCAATGAGGGTGCCAGCAGCCAAAATGATGAGGGCCCTAGCACCTCACAGATTGTGGGAGATCCTGAGGCTTTTCCAAGACATGAGATAGATGCAAAGGTGTCTGATTTGGTGGAGTTTTTTCTCCACAAGTATCAGACAAATACACCCACCAGCAAGGAAGAAATACTGATGTGTGTGATTCCTAATTGCCAAGATCACTTCCAAGTGATCTTTGATGAAGCATCTGAGTGTATGAAGCTCGTCTTTGGCATTGATGTTAGGGAAGTGGACCCCACTGTCCACTCCTATGCCCTTGCTATCTCCCTGGGCCTCACTTATGATGGGATGCTTAGTGATGTTCAGGGTATGCCCAAGACTGGCCTCCTGATACTTATCCTGAGCGTCATTTACATGAATGGCAATTGTGCCCCTGAGGAAGAGATCTGGAATGTGATGATTGGGATGGGGCTGTCGTTTGGCGAGTGGCACTGCATCTATGGGGAGCCTGGGAAGCTCCTCACTGAAGATTGGGTGCAGGAAGGGTACTTAGAGTGTCATCAGGTGCCCAACAGTGATCCTCCTCGTTTCCAGTTCCTATGGGGTCCAAGGGCCCACGCTGAAATTAGAAAGATGAATCTTTTGAAGTTTTTGGCTGAGATTAATGAGAGTGATCCAAGAGCCTTCCCAATATGGTATGAAGAGGCTTTGAGAGATGAGCAAGAGAGAGATCGTGCCAGAATTGCTGCAACAGATGCTTTTGCCATGGCTAGTTCAAGTTCTAGTGCCAGCAGCAACATTGCTTACCATAAGTAATGTCAGTCAGATTCTTTACTCTTCGCGTTAATGCACAACTCAGCGTTCAGTATTAGATCAACTAGAACTAGGAGGAACAAATTGTATCATGGCTTTGTTCTACTGTTCTCAATGGAAGTTTTAGGGACTTATTCTTCTTTGTATTAGATATTTAGCTTCTGAATCAATGTTAATTACATTGCTCATGCATTTATTACTGCTTATTCATAATACGCAACTAAGTTTTTACTACTTTGTAAAACAATTTGGAAAACACTCATCTTGTTTGTAACTTTGGACAAGATTCTGTGGCAGTAGAGTGGACATGTCCTTGGAAATGTAAAAGAACTTAGCAAAAAGTTAAGTACTGGTGTTTTGATTCATTAACCTTTTCCACGTTTTATTCTGCAAGATTAAAAACATTGTTACCTAGAGCTTAATAGCTTATTAAGGTGAAAATTAAATTGTAATAAACAGAACTCTTGTTCACTGGCTTATTTCTTCCCCAAACATATGTTGACCATCGGCTCTGTGGAAGTCCCCCTGCTAGGAGTGGAGTTGCTGGGATGGGTCTCGCCTACCCTAGCAGAGGGGGAAAGGTAGAGCCCAACAACAGCCATCATCAGAGAAAGACAGTGAGATGCCTTCTGAGACAGAAAGAACCAGTCAAGGAAGGGTGAGCAACTGGCATTCCAAGTTGGGGTCGTAGAGTATAAATGCCTTGAGTCAAGGCATTTTGAGGCTATGGAAAACTGCTTCCTTTTGTGGGAGTTCTGTGTGATGAAGCTTGGTTGAGGAAGGGGCCACTCCATTAGGGAGTGGGTCATGGGATTGAGATAAAAGCATGGAGTTGAATATCACTCTGTGGAATTCCTTCTAGACTTTGCATGAAGCAGCAGTTATGAAAGGTGTACTGAGTGTTTTTTAACACAGTGCAAAGACCAGGTAATTCCTATCCAGCATCTGCAAAGATTTTCTAAGTAACTATTTCCAGATAGATAAGCATGTGGAATGATGCCTAGACTAACTAATTCCACTAGAAGAAAATTTCAATTGAATTAACTTTCATATCATTTGGACAGCTCTGAACAAAATCTTGGGTGGGGATGAAAATAGTGATTTGGATGGAAAATCAGCTAGGAGTTAGAGAAGGAGCTGGCCCTTGTCTCAAATTCTGGAAGCTCTGAATTATATCCAGTGGGAAAAGATTTCTTCATAATAAAATTTTAAAAGATAACCTCCAAGATGGGAATTTTGCAGAATATTTACAAAGCATTAAGGCTGATTTTGTATTTCATGTCATAAATAAGTTATGTGTTCTGAAATGTGCTACACAACAACATTCCAAAGGAAAAGGTAGTAGGACTTTGAGTAAAAAATAACACTAAAAACAAGTTCAAGTCACAAAAATTTTATTATATGCCAGGTAATGTACTAGACACTTTACTACATACAGCACATACTTTCCAACAGTCCTACTGCATGTGGTAATCTCATTTTACTGGGGAAAGACCTGAAGCTCACCCCTGGGCATGCCCAGGATGCCTGGCTGGGAAGGGACAGGCTGGGAGGAGACCCCTGGTCAGGATTTATCTGGACCAACAGTCTTTTTCCTCTTCCCAGCCTGAGGTCAACCTTCTGAGTATAATTAATTTCTTTCATCACACTGTGTGATGTTTCCCTGGAACTCCCTCTCTCCCAATGTAGTCAAAGTTGAAAAAAAAGGCAATAGGAGCAAATGCACTTTGTTGACTATTTGGGGGTTTATTAGCCTAGGATTCTCCTATCTAGATTCTTAGGGCTCCTTGAGAGCTGGCTCTACTAGGTACTGTCATTTTTGTGCATTTCTAGGGCTTTCACTTGTCCCCCGTGAGCCCTTGGTATTGTCTTTTTAGCACTATAACAAAATATCTGAGGCAGCTTAATATCAAAAAAAGGAAGAAGTCAGATTGAATAGCAGCTGGATAGGGGAGCAGACAGGACACTCTGGGTAAGTGAGGAGCATCTGGAGGGTACAGCAAGAGCAATGGCCAGCATCCCTGAGAGACCACATACATGAGACATGAAGCATGCAGTGTCCTAGCATGCCCAGTGCTTGAAGCTCTGAATCCCAAATTCTACACAGTAGGAGAATGGAATGAAGGAGAGGAAGGGGATCAGAAGGGACAAAACACAGGAATGAGCTTAGGAAACCTGGGGATCTTCCTCACCAGCTGGAAGCTGCAGTGTGATTGGAGTGGACAGACCTGCAGATGGGGGGGGGGTGGGTACTATTAGGAAGAGTGTGACTTGCTCCCTGTATTCTTCTGGGTTTCCAATGGTTTTTGATCACTGTTATGCTCCCATGTACCCTCAACAGTGCCTTGGCACAGGGAGCTGTCTAAACGTCAAATGAGAGCTGATGTCTTATCCCCTGGGTTCTATGGAGCCCCACTGTACGCTGCCCCCAAGTAAGGGAGAGGGCTGAGGCCTGATGAATGACAGCTTAGAGGGAAGGGGCTATAACTGAGCAGTGGAATGCATCACTTAACCATTCGGAAGGGACCCTGGCAGGATGAATGCTTTGGGACAAAATACATACAATTTGAGATAAAGGGCTGGGTGTACACAGGTCTTGAAAAATGGTCCAGTTGGGGCCTCTGCCTCAGACTGCCTCCACAGGGGCAATCCACTAGTATGCTGAACTCTGAAATGAGGAGGAAGGGGAAGTGTTAATGATTATGAAACTGAGGGATAGAGTTGGGAGAGGGTATGAAAGGTAAGTTCAGCGCAGACCATGTACATGGTAATTGTCCATCACACATGCAGATGGGGCAGCTCAGTGGAGAACGGAAAACACGGATCCTCCTGGAGAGGAAACTTGGACAGACATTAGATTTGGAGGTACCACTAGAAGTCACTTGAGGCCATAGGTTTAGGGAAAGTCATGTAAGTATTGGGTAGACATTAACTTACATGCTGCAAAATATCATTTCTTCTCCTGAAAATTCATAATTACTTAATAACCAAATAATACAAGGAAAATATGCAGCATACAGGAGGATGCGTAAAGGTTCTATGCAAATAATATACCATTTTATATAAGAGTCTTGAGCATCCAATCTCCTGTAAACACAGAGGACAATTCTACACGTTGCCTCTGCTGACTGATCACAGCACACAGTTTACTTGATTCATTTCCAGGTTGCCCAAGCTGTCAAATGATGTGTACCTGATTTCCTTGAAGCAGACAGCTGAAGTGGTTTCTATACCAATGAATTCCATATTCAACACAGAACAGAGAGGAATGATTTGGATCTGCAGTGAATGGCATTTTGCTTAAGTGATGCATGTTAACACTTTAGACGGGTGATGTTTTTGTTTTTGGTATATGTAATCTCACCTGGTCACTATTCTATGGTTTGGGAACAGAAGGGGAAACAACCTCTGCCTGTGTTACCAGAATTCCATATTGGGGCCAACTCATATCCCAGGTGCTAAACTTATGATCCAGCTCTGTGCTTATGGTGCAGAAAAACAGCAACATATGGCACAAGTCCTTGGAAGCTGGAAAGAGATCCTGGCTCCCAGCTTTGGACCAGCATAGCACTGGCCATTGTGGCCATTTTTTGTGTGAACCAGCAGATTCAAAATCTCTTTCTCTAAGTCTCTCTCTCAATCTCTAGTTTTCTTTCTGGTAATTTTGACTTTCAAGTAAAAATAACCAAATCTTTAAAAAAAATAAATACAGAAAAACCAACAATTTCTCAGGTTTTTTTGTTTATTGTTGGCATACATTTTACGTTTATGTTTTTCATGCTCCAGTATTCCATGCTAATATTTTTACTTTAAACAAAGGGTTTTAAGTAAGAGGTGTTTACATAATAAGAAAATAATCTTTACACTCACTGTTATAGTTACATTTACAATGTTCTTCATCCCTTTATAGCGATCAAGATTTATATTTAATGCCCTCTCCTGTCTTCCTGAGTATTTCCTTTAACATTTATTATAGTGCACGTCTACTAGTGCTTAACTGTGAAATTTTCTATTTTAGAATTTTTTTTTAACTTGGAATGTATTTTCACAAAAAAGCTTCTTGATCCACCATCTACTGTGTGCAAAAGTACCACAATCAGGAAGCTATAATTAGGCATGCCACTGAGACTACAATCTAGGCATTACAATGTAGAATCAGGGCATTCCAAGTAGCTTTCTTTTTCTTTATTTTTTAGAAAATGTCTATTTTGAAAATCAGTCAGAGAGAGAGAGAGAGAGAGAGAGAGATTCTCTACCTACTGGTTCACTCCGCAGATGGACACAATGGCCTGTGCCCTATGCTGGGTCAGGCCAAAGCCAGGAGCCAAGAGCCAGAAGCATCATCCATGTGCGTGGCATGGACCCAAAAACCTGAACCGTTTCCTGGGTCAGATTTACTTTTCTCCTCATTATTGATTCAATTTCCCTACTTTGTAATTCCCATTTATTTGGCACTGGATATTACACATTTTGAATTTTACCTTGTTGAGTGATAGATGCTTCTTGTGTTTCTATACATAAATGATATTCTTGTGTCTTGCTATAATAAGCAACTACTTGGAAACAGTGTGATAATTTGGAATCTTGCTTTTATTAGTTTTCATTTTGCTATTTCATTATTTTTAAAAAAGAAAGCATGGCACATATTCTTGCTCTAAAAGCAACATTTAATATTTTTCTAATACTTGCTTACTTCTAAAGCAAAGGCCCTCTGTATTCCAACCAGTGTTCCGTGAATGATGAGGTTTTTACTCCAAGTCACAAGAGCAAGAATAATTCCTAGATATACATTATCTCTGGAAATTTGTTTATTTGGAAGTTTGTTCAGAAGACTCCATTTGCAATCCCTATACTTAAAATTCCAGTTGCTCAACTTCAGTCAGTAAACTTGTGAACTTGCTTAACTTGTTTTTCTTCTCTCTGTCACATGTTTTGTCTGGTTTTTGGTTGTTTCAGACATGTTTAAATTTTTCATTGCTACCATATAGCATCCAAACACAGAA